CCCCAAAACCCCAAAACCCCATTTGCTAAAATTGAGTTCTAAAATTTGTGGTTATGGAAATCTTATAATAAATTTATTAAATGGATCCAGCTTTTGAAAAAGTAGATATCTAATTAAATCCGAAACTTCTAGATATAGACTAAAATCTCTTCAGTAAAGGTTTATCTTCATATTAAGAAAATAAAAAAGATTCTTATATTGAATTCACAAGGATATTCTAAGAATAATAAGAATAAGGAAATATCTAGAATGCTTTACAGGCTTAGATTTATATAATAAAGATTCAGGTATGGTTCACTAATTACCTAGCTGTAAAGAAAATACTTGAGACTTATTAAGAGACACTCTCTAAACTAAAGGACAATTTAACAAATGAGAAATATAAAGAGCTTGAATACTTTAGAATTAATATGCTCTACAAATCAGGATATTATTTTCAGATATTGGAACCCCTAAGAGAAATGGATGCCTAGAATCACCTTGAATTCAATAGAGTCTTACTTTTCAAATCTAAAATCAAACTTGCTAGAGTGTACTTTGAACTTGGAAATCATTACGAAAGTAGAAAATTATTCTAAGCCATAAAAACTTAGATTAAAACAGATGATAGTTTTTAAAATAATAAGAATTTATGGCTCTCATTTTACATTGAAAAATCAAAGTATTTCTTGAGTTTGAAACTCTTCAAAAAGTTTGCAAAATATGTGTTAAAAATGAATGATTGCCTTGACTAAGATAAATAAGTTTATATGAAGTAGATAAAGAAATTCTTATCGTTAACAAACTTATGTTCTTGCATTGAACCTAAATTAACAAAAGAAAAAGAAACTGCGAACAAGTTTGATTTTTCAGAATATAATAGCAGTGCAAAGATACCACTACCTTTTTTTGCAGCAATTATGGAATCTCAATTCTAAAGATAATTCTACATAAAGAGAGATCTTACCACCTATATAGGCTAAAAGATTTTAACAGAATATAAGGGAAAGATAAATAAACTTGAAGAATACATATTTATCAAAGAAGACCTTAATTTCATAAATCTCAAATTCAGGATATTGAAAGCTATTGAATTAATTTCTTCTGATGATTTTAAATTGAAGATAGACACAATGGATAAAGAATTTCAATAAATTGTCATTGACTACAAAGATTATCTTGATAACTTTGAGTTTTAGTAAATCTTATTAAAAGCTACTAGAATTATTCTAGACATAACATTATTTGAGGCACTAGAAGATATTTTAAAAGATACTGTTATTGGATAGATATTTTAAATGAGAAGTGAAAGCTACCCTCTCAGTATTTATAGTTGCTATCCTATTATGGATATAGCTTAATTACTATATTATATAAATTAAGGTTATTCTACTAGCCTGTTTTATTAATTAGAATTTAAGTAGATAGTATAACAATACGAGGATATTTATTTCAAAAAGTCATGTGAATATTTTCCTCATAATTATATGAATGATATAAAAGCAAAGAGGATAATTGGAGAACTTAATTAATAACTTACTAATCAATAACTTGATCTAAAAGCCTATATGGAAAAGGTGGAGCATACATTCGCATAATTATCAAAAGATTTATATGAAGGTCAAAGAGATCACGATTTCGAATCTATGCAATTTATCTTAATTAAGGATTTTCTGCTAACATAATAAAATTTTTCAGAAGAGGAAAAGAAAGAATATGAAACTTATTTGTAGCGAGGGCTCTACAATTGTTAAAAGACCTCTGCAAATTATTATATAGAAGACACTGATGTGACTCTATACGGATTATTGCCTTTGTTTATGAATAAAGAGAATATTAAAGAATTTAAACAAATCACCTATGACTTGATTGACTTCAATGTGAATAGAGACACACCTCAAAATCTTACAAGCTGTATGCCTAAGGTAGTTGGAATGATTTTTTAGCTCGGAGAAACCGAATTCGCAGTAGAAATCATTGATAAAACACTTGAACTTCTAAAAAATCTGCCTATAAGATTCTTTGCTGATTAAATCTTTATGGAAGGCATCTTAAGACTTTTAATTGAATTAAAGTTATTTGAATTGGGTCTAAAATACTCAGAAATAACTTTGCCTCTTTGTGAGAGATATTTATAGCCAGGAGAAGAAAATAAGGTCTTAAAGTTGAAGAAAAGATTCTTACTCTATAAATTTGATTTTTCTCTTTCGATAAACAGAAATTAATCGAGATCTGAACTTAGACAAATAGAAGAAGATATAGATTCAATTGAAACACTTATTGGATAAGTTAGAGATGTTCAAACTTAGTTAGTATCTGTAAAATAAAAGCTCAGTGCTTTAGTTGAAAAAAATGATTAGGCTATGCTACTTAAAGCTCTAGGCTTTGGAGTGCTAGTAGCTTCAGGATTAGTGATAACAGCTGTTGTTTACTTTACTAAAAAGAGAAATTGAATAATTTTAAAGAAGATGAGACTAGAACTATTCTTAACTTATTAAATTCAAAAAGAGTTTATCTAAATTATAACCAAACTTTATGTTCTCTCATTTTCATAATGATGGGGTTTTGGGGTTTTGGGG